ACACTGGACTTGTTCCTATTAACATAAATCATTATTCATATATTGTACATGTAGGTCGTATTAGAGCAATTCAGTTAGATTACTCAGAAAGTCACAAGCATTTAATTCAAGCCATTCGCAAGGCCCCTCAACAGTCAGCTATTGGGTTCAGACAGACTGCCCACAAATTTGCTGTTGTAGTGGAATTACTGTTAGGTGACATACCAGATAAAGCAATATTCCATGAACGTGTACTTGAGAGGCCACTGCAGCCATACTTTCAATTGACAAAAGGTATTGGAGCCAATGATGATAAAAATGATTCCCTCTTGTAGCTGTTAGGAATGGCGATTTAGTTCAGTTTGGTCATGTCTTGGAGAATTATCAGGGTCACTTTCAAGCAGACCATACTTACACTTTGATTGTGAGACTCCGACATAATGTTATCAAAACTGGCATTCGTCGAATCTCATTATCATACTCTCGCATCTCATTAAGAGATATAGCTGATAAACTGGGATTAGATGATGCTCTAGATGCAGAATATATAGTTGCTAAGGTAAGGAGTGAGTTTATTTTACATGTATGTTCTGGATTTTACTGATAAACTTGATTTTAGGCTATCAAGGATGGTGTTATTGAAGCAACTATTAATCATCATGAAGGTTACATGCAGTCTAAGGTATTTTCATTCTGTAAAACTGAGTCCAATGTTTCATTATTCTGTTATTGCTTTAGGAACATGTTGACATTTATACTACAAAGGAGCCTCAAGAAGCGTTTCACCAACGAATTCAGTTTTGCCTTGATTTATACACACAATCAGTAAAGGTGAGTGTTTATCAACAATCCAGTAATGCTAGATTGCACTTACTTACTTACTGTTTGTGTGCCATTAGTAGAGCATGCTTAATTGGCAGCCAACAAAATAATTATAATGTATACAAAAATGGCTATAAAGCTGATACAGGTTTTATCCTAACTCCTAAGTGTTTTTTTGCTTAACATGTCACTGGGCTGATGTTTTGTATCGAAGTTTCACTTTTTTTTTATACAGGCTATGAGATATCCACCAAAATCATATAAAGAGTCAGAAAACGTAGAAGTAAGCATACTGTCAGAATCATAATACTAATGATAATAAATACATTTTAAGGAGTTAAGAGAAACTGAAAAGCAGCTCATCGAGGTTGTTAAGATGGTGGATGAAGATGACGAGGAGGAAGAGGAATTTTAGAACCTTATTATTAACATTATATAGTTACCCACAATAGTAATTATTAATCATGATATTGCGGGAATATAGTACTGTAATGACACATCTTGATGTAACAGGAAAAATTGTAAACCACATCCATCCACAATATCTAAAGAATTATTATGGTACAAAATGTGAAAATTTAATGATTCCTCACTTACTACAAATGACTTTGATAGGATTAAAATGACCTGTCAAAACATGGCTGAGTTTTTTTATATCCACCCTAGCTTCATACATGACAGTTTTAT